TCCTGCTTTGAAATACGCCTCAGATACTTGGACTCTACGGAAGCAGGACTGACGAGCCACGGGAGTCAACTCCATCTGGTGATTCTTCTGAGTAAACGTGGCGAAACGAATCACTATTCGTTGTTTCTAGTAACTTGTTGAGCAACTAGTATCATTGTTCCCTTTTTCTCTTGATGTAGACTGTCCTGGTTCGAATGATGAGGTTAACCCATCTTCGCAACTGGGCTAGTTCCGAGTTTCTTCGGGTAAATACTAGTTAATCAACTTCGTATTATGGCGATTGCCAAGTCACCGGTTGGTGATGGTTGAGGACCGGTGGTCCAACAAACGTCGATGACGTTCATTTTATTTACCACTTCTTTATAGCTAGTTATAATATATTTTAATTTACATCTCTCAGTGGTAGTCTTCTAATAAGATCTTTGTGGTTGTGTCAACAACATCTCTATGGAATTGTCAGTTTATCATAGCAATCACCGAAAGTATAACAGTAACAACAACAATGATTTCGTTAATGTTTTTTTTAAAAAAAAGATCTTTACTCCTCGTGTTAGTGCTAACTTCGAGGCGTTGTCGTCGATATCATGATGATTGGCGGCTCGTTTGCCACCCTTAATAACTAAGTTCATATGTTTATACTTGAAAAACAAAGATAACTAACACCATTTCTTAATATATATTAATTTGGACTTTCACACCTCATATCGGATTGATTCTTCTGTAATGAGGTGAATTTCTCGTAAAATATCTTCCAGTTTTTTTGATCCCCATGTATTTGGGTTGGTCTATATTGAAAGAGTGTATGTTCATGTAGTAACATACATAGATTATATATTATTACATACTAATTTATCACTTACTTCATAATTTCGTCGTTCCGCATTGGTAAGTAATTTATATATAGCGGTGCCCTGCCATTCTGAGTAATTCCACCAGAGTAATACAGCCAATTCGGTTGACTTGAAGCGCTAAATAATAGGTTATTTCATACATATGCATACGAAACATTAATACCTCGTGGTTGGATGCTTCGAAATTATTTGTGATTTTCTCACACCTACTTCTGGTACTGGTATATGGCTCTCCAAGCAGTAATTGCGAATCTTCTTGCGAAGGAATAGACTAAATTTATCTTTTTGATTGCCATAGTATAGGTACTAATCAGTTAGTTAAATATACCTCAAATTTTCTAAGTCTGATACATGTGTTGTACGTCCCCTAGTTATTCGTATGTTTGATCCTGTATTACGATTGTAATCCATCAAATTACGTCTTCCATGTTCTAGGAAGTGGTCCCAAAACATGCTTGACATATTGACCTATAACTACGTTTTTACTTACTTTAATCTTATTAATTATGCACTCATTATTATACATAAATATAATAAAGCTATGATTAGGGATATATTGCAATACTATTATACACTACCTTGACCTCTGTGCGGTCACCACCGCCTCCTATCGGTTTTATCCATTGCAAGGGATAGGGATCCTTTGGATTTACATATCTGAACTAAACTCTATGGTGCGTATACTTAAATGTTTACTAGTCAACCATACTTTAATGCTTCCGATACAATTTTTGTTCACTTGCTCCTTTGCACTCAATCCAGGGACGTGCGGAATATTCAGGATTATTTCCTTGGACGAAACGGAGCGATTTACTAACTCCTGCTCGCGGGATAAACGAGTTTTTTGGTCAGTGTTGGTTTGCCAAAAGCCAGGTCTCTATAAACAATTTGTAACATTTACATTAACTATACTTAGTTTTACATCATAATATACTCATCCATGTTGGCATCATTTATATGGTTATTAAAAGCTAGGGTTATATCAAAATAAAAAGGTAGATGACTATAATAACAAATAAACAGTAGCCAACAATATAACAATAGAAACTAATAATAAGAATAACTTACCACATCTAAACTGGTTGACTCCATATTATTTGGATCCATAACTAGTGTTGGATAGATACATTGGTGTCATTGATTGCTATACCGCTATAATAAGCATTTAGTTAGAGCATGCATATCTACATAACAAATCCAATGCAAATGTTGATAATGTCGACTTGATAATGTCTCCTACTTACCTTGTTTCTGAATTTTTGCACATCTGGAGCAAGAATGGTGTGGCTACCTTGCTTTAGCACATACCTTGCTTTAGCACATTGTCATCTTAAAAGGAATTAGTTTCAATAATATCAGAATACATGACAAGGTGGTGAATGGTAGTAAAAGCGGAATGTAGTTGGCGCACGAATACAACGAATAACAACAGCTACTATTAGCGATCAATACGGCGCCCACTTGACTCTAAAGGACATCTGGGTTCAGGTATACGGTAACCAATCTTGCACTGGAGCTGGTTATTCTTATGTGAACAGTAATGTAAATACTTAGCCATTTATTCAATGTATGCATATAATATAAATGTCCAACTATCCGCCTATACTATTACAAATTCAAATATTATATTTTCAATATATAGCTTTAATCAATTAGCTTCGTAGCAAACAAGGATTGGAGCAGTCATATGACATGATGCAGTTAGTGCATTCCAACTTATTCAATTGTATAACACAATCTATGGGTAATTTTTATCATAAGTAATTTTTATCATAAGTAATTGTACACGATATTTATATTTTATCATTACAATTATTTAGATGAATAAAGTCAATTTACGGATAAACACTACAGTTTATTCAGGTAATACGCTTTAATATAGTTTTAATTTATTTATAATATGTAATCGGAGCATGTAGCCCATAGTTTAGCAACTAACTTATAACATTAACCATGTTCAATATAAACAATTTTAAATAATGTATATAATATAACAAAATAAATATTAACAAAAAACTCAGTAGATTGAGAAAGAAGCTAATATAAGTCATTTGTATTTTGGTCACCTCTTCTTCACTTATATCTTTCACTTTTCCCTTCCCTTTTTTTTTCTTCTTCTTCTTCTTGTGTTCCACTTGTACTATAATAATCAATCATTCATTCAAGAGGGCCATTCCTTTTCAAAAAAATAGGGATTAGTGCTGATGGGGTTATGCAAGTCAAGCGCGGCAATAGAGGTCAGCTCTTGGCGCCTCCAGCACTAATCGTTAAATAAGGGCTTGCCAATCCCTGGCAGCAACCCTGCCAAACCTTTAGCAAGGGGACTCCTCTCTGTATGTGTGACTGACCGCTCACATACTTAGATCTAGGTCAAAAAACACCAACCCTTATTATAACAAAAACAAATTTTACAAGGTTCGAGGAGGGAATCCTTACTATATATAATCCACAAGTTTGGTGTGTCTGTCTGTATGTATGTATCTATATATGTATGTATGTATGTATGTATGTTTGTTTGTATGTCACACAATCCGGTTTCACCTGAAAAATCGCCTTTAGAGGTCGGGACAAGTTCGGGATGGGTGGAGCCCAAGACAAAATTAATAGAGCACATACGAGCTCTGCGGAGCTCCGCCCACGAGGGGCGGGGCAAGCGCCGGGATGGGCGGTGCCAACAGTCAAACATCTTATTTTTGCTTCGAAAAAGTCCAGACACCAGGGAAAAATGTTCAAAGGTGGGGATTGGGTCAAGAAACCAGACGGTGGAGACCCACGCGCTGTGGGCGGAGCTTTCTCAAAATGTGCGGTACTTTTTAGATGTGTTCATAACTTGATTCAATTAAGGCGCAGAGGCCAGGAAAAAATAGAAAGAGTGAGCAGGGCCTTCTACGTGCTGGGCATGCGTGAGCTTAGCGAAGCCCCGCCCACGATGGGCGGGGCGTGCGTTAAGGTGAAAGCTACTTTTCAAAAGTGAGTGCAACTTCGTTCGGGAACGTTCTGGAATGCGGCAAAAAGGTGTTAAAGTGTAAAAGTACAAATGTGACCAAATCCCTAAAGTGGGCGGGGTTGGCACTAAAGTGGGCGGAGCTAGGGTGTGAAATTATTAACTCTCTACAAAAAGGTTCTTGAGCGCCGAAGAAAAATGCTCGGAGCTTACAAAAGAATCAGAGTCGAATTTTCAAAGTAGGCGGGGTTTGCGTTAGGGTGGGCGGAGCTAGAGCGTGAAATTCATACCTCTCTTCAAAAAGGTTCTAGAGCGCGGAAAAGGGGCTCGGAGCCTATAAAAGAATCTGAGGCGAATTCTAAAAGTGGGCGGAGTTTGCACTTGGATGGGCGGAGCTAGGGTACGAAATTNGACGGAGTCGCCATGCGCTCAACATTCGCTCAAAATAAAAAAGTATTTGAATTATCCTTACTATATATAAACCGCAAATGTCCTTTTCTCTGTTTGTCTGTCTGTTTGTCTGTAACACTGTCTTATATGGTGCCGTTTGGAAACAAGCTGGAACAGCTCCGACAGGCTGAAACAGGCGGGGAATGAGCCGAACTCCTTAGGTGCAGGTGAATTAAGCTAGCTCCGCCCACCATGGGCGGAGTGTCACACTAAGGGCGAGGCGTGCGCGAAAGCTGTAGTTTATCGAAATCTGTAACTCCTGTTCTCCTGGGCCTAAAGTATTCAAATTTGATGGAGGTGCAGGCGGCATGATGGGAAAAGTAATGGTAGGTAACAGGTGTAGACTCCGCCAACTGGGGGCGGGGCTTCCTCAAAAATATTAAATTTGGACCTGGAGCGTTCAAATTTGGCAGAGATGTAGCGGCATGATGGGAAAACTGATGACAGGTGACTCTACTCACCGGGGGCGTGTTTGCATGAAAATAGTAAATATGGACCTGCTTATCATGATTTTTGCATGGAATTTCATCAAACAACATATCGGCCAGGGGATCGCCGATTGGTAGGCTATCAAATGCCTACTGCGACGGGTGCGGATAAATTTCAGAGTGGAAATAAATTCCCATTTCATCTCCAGTGAAATACGGGCATTCCACAATGGTAAGGGGTAAATTTCAGAGTGGAAATGAATTCCCATTTCATCTCCAGTGAAATACTGGCATTCCACAATGGTAAGGGGCAAACAAGAAATTAATGATTTTAAGGTCTTTTTTTGATTTTTTTGGATTGAATCGGTCAGCATATAGATAAACGTATGTAAATGGTTGCCGAATGCAGTTTGCTAGAAATGTGCGCTCTCAATAAACGGCTTATGACGGTATTATTTGGGGTGGAAAACGGTACTGCCCATTTTTTGGAAGAGGGTGTTTACTGAGTTGCCAAGACGATTACGCTTCAGGTTATCTTTGAGAAAGTCCAGTTATCGAAGGTCATGAAACGCGCACGGTATCGTGCGCAGGCTAACTGGTGGTTATATATTGGAAGAATTTGGTAATGAAAATAGAGGTGGCATATGTAGAAATATTAACTGTAAGATTTGTGCTATCTCCAATAACAAAAATTTCGTTAGATCTTATATAACTAATCTCAAAATTAACACATATAAAACAACTGATTGCAATACAACAATGGTTATTTGCAGCTTAATATGTGGCAAGTGTGTAGGAATGACCACTAGAAAGATAAGAGATAGAATAGGAGAGCATCACAGGAATAGAATAGGAGAGCATCACAGGAATATATACAATCATAAAAAACACACTTTATTGTATAACCACTTCTATAAGTGCGATAAAGGTGTAAGAGTTGATATTCTAGATTCGTTGGAAAACAACGATAAACAAACTTTGATTAATAAAGAAATATTCTAGATCAAATTGCTAATGACAGCTTACCCATTCGGATTGAATGATGATATTAAAGGATATGGCAACATTAGTAACACGCAAAATCCACTATTTAATAAGAACAATCCTCCATACTTTGCCATTAAAGTAATTTAAAAAAGAAACAATAGAGGAAAAACCAGAAAGAAAAAAGAGAAAAACGTAACATGAATAAATGTGATATGATACTTACAGAAATTACTAATAATGAAAGAAATCTTAAACCCATTGAATATTACAGATTACTCAAGAGCTTACGTAAAGATGAAATACAAAGGATACTGAGATTAACTGTAGAAGAAAATTTTCTGGAACAAGTCAGTCAAAGAACAAAGTTCTTGGTCTTTCGTTTATCAGCTTACTTACAATATTCAATTGCTTCGCAGAATAAAATAACAAAGGAAATTAATTATCGCAACATCGTAGTAGAATATAAAAGTAGAATATTTAATGAGCTTCCGTTCAAAAAAATTTTAAATGCTCAAGTTATCAAACGTATTATATTTGGTAATGATAGTCATAATGGCAGATACATACCAGTCAGGGTTGTATTCAAGTATTCCAATCCAGTGGCCAGTAAGGTTTGCAACTATAATCAAATTCTTAAAAATCTTAACAATGGAAAATTGAAAGAAATATTGAAACAAAATTGTGAATGCGGGTTTACAGTTAATCAAAAATATGTGGATAAGAATCATGGACATATAATTACTAGAGATTTGAGCATAATCAGAGACATAGAACTCAATAATATATTAAGTAAAGGTACAAAATATAGAATAGATGAGGGAATTAGTAGAAAAGAGATCAGGAATGT